CAGTAGTAGTAGTAGTAGTAGTATTGATAGGGTTAATTGTGCCTGTCGGCAACTAACGGTATACGCAGAATGTTCAATAAGCATAGTTCACCTTGAAGTAGCCTTGTCAGCTTTGAGTCCCGGTAAGGAACATGTGTGCTTTTCTTATCAACAAGAGCAGATATGACGTTGCCCAAGGTCGATAGACTAAGGTTAATTCTCGTTGCTTCTTTCAACCGCTCTCCCTATATGTGGGGACAGGTTGAGATAAAGGAGGTTGACGACTTACTTCGGACTGGGTCTTCGACTGACGTTCACTTCCAGCCAAATCTACCAGATTTAACTTCCCCACACGGATGTGGTTCTTGCCATCCAATCCTAGCTGTTATAAGAAAGCAGATATAAAAAACAAATTCGGGAAACTCACTTCACAACACTCGATGGTGATAATGAAAATGGCATGGGAACGAGAACTGTGTTCGTTCATGTTCGTGGCTCTAATGAAACGATTTTAAGATGAACGAACTGCTTGCACTTACCCAACAGATCTATTGGCGTAGCCTATATTCATTACTTTTTCAATCTCTCGGATGTTCTTTGTGAGGACTGTTGAAAGATCCTACAAACGGTCAATGGGCAAACCTAGTGAGTGATTCTGACTCTACAGGTTTAGTCAAATATAGTTTGGAACATAGAAAATGAACAAAACCAAGAAAAAAAGTGCCATCTTTCAACCGATTTCTTAGTACTCAATTCTAAGTATATAATTTTGACCATGAAATGCAAGAATGGATTTTGAAAAAGTATGATTCATTAAACTTAGAGACGGACTACTTGTTGTTTGATTTAGTAATTACAGTAAACAATCGGACTTGTCTTACAGTGTATTCGTTCATACACAACTATGTTACCCTGCTTATGTCGGTTGAGAGAAAGCTGGGCATTCTGAACAGATATTATTACGCTTAAAAAGGCTCTGTTCTATTGACTAAAACTCCGATGAGGTAGCAAATTCCAGTTCGCGATGCCGAAAGCCTTGTGTGTGGTAGTAAAGGAGAAGTTTGTCCAGGATCATCGACAAAACGGCCGGGAGACTTGTATCACATATAATAGGTCGAACTAAATTTTGATCAATTACTAAAAATGGCTCGTCCAGTCGAATTAATTTTAAATTTTTCCACTTGTAATCCGTGAACTGGTTCTTATCCTGTTCAAAAGGCCATTTTTTCGACCCTATTGCAATACGTTTAACATGCATTTGTGTTAACGAAACCGAATGAGAATATAAGAAGTGCAGGCAGAGCTAGTCTCTATACGATAAAATGCAAGGAGACAGGCCTATTCGTGCTAAGTCCATGTACATGGTCACATCCTGTTGTGTATCCTCTGTGTTCAGTGACAAGCGACAAACTTATTGACATACGATAAAGACTTTCCGGGGCATTGGTTAAATGATTGCCAAATTTTGCTCGCTATTTATCCTCTTTGAAATTCGAATCCATTTTTGGGTATGGTATGTTTTGTTTCCCTTCTTTTACTAGATTATGCAAATTTTGGCCATACAACACTATTTTTGAATATGCTTTCTATTTGTTGGGAATTTTTTTCAGGTTGCATCAAGTAAATGCTACGGAAGATTGCTTTTGTATGACAAGATGCAGCCATACTATGGATATATGTTTTTCAAAGCTCAAAACCTGAAGCGCCTACACATTACATGGGAGGAAACGAAATATACTCAGGAAATATGCGATATTTGCAATGTCAACCATTAGGAATTTACGTATGGCAAGATGAACAGCTCTGTAGAATGCTTTACACAGGATTTCAGTCTGCGTTTTTGACCAACTATTGCGAATAACATTGAAGTAACATTTACTGACGACCATACCTTCCTCAACCTTCCTCATGAAAACAAACGAACCCAAAAAGCAAACTGTTCTCCCTTCTTACAATGTATCAATTATTAAATTTATTGCTTTGAATGATCCGATTTTCATCATTAATCTTAGAGAGCAATTATTAAAATATTAAAAGATTGGTGCTGACGCTATCCAGTGGAAAATTAAATGCCAAACATTTTTGAAATGAAGTGAAAAGTTTCCTTTTTAACATATGGCATAAAAGGTTCTTTCTGAGTATAACAATTAATTGTAGTCAAAAGAGTTAGAACTGTATTGATCAAACTACCTGATATAATTTCTTCTTTTAAATATACCTCCTAATCTTTTAGAAATCTCTACTTGACGATTGTGCGCTCCGAGATACAAAGAAACCTTATGTCTATCCTAAAGTTAAAACTATTCAAACCGTATCTGTGTCAAATGGCCTCTCCAAGCATGTTGCCAAAATTATGCTAAGAACACACAAAAAGCTAATTAGACCAGTGAGCTCGCAATTAACTGAAAAATGTGATAACGGGTGGGGTTATTGCATTTCATCTAAAGTTGGCAACGAAATAAATTACCTACTCGACACAAAACATATTTGAAAATCGTTATGTGAATACAAAAAACTTGGCCGCAGTATTTCATGAAGCCATTTTGCATTAACTTGAACTAAGTAGCTTATGCACATGATCTGGCAATGATACAAACGGGGCCAGCAGCTCTGCGTCCCACTCGTGTCATCTCAGCTTATTTGCTTCCTTTCAAACGTCTTTTACCTGCCAGTTGGGTACTTGACGTAATAAAAACTTGTAAAACGAGAGTGCACCTAAACAATAGCCGTGCAATCTGGAATCTGGCTTCGACTGTATCCATCAATTTGATGCTTCATAGCACTTGCATTAAATAATACTCCCTATCCGACTCGGTGAGAAGAAAAGTGAGGGTTTCGAGAGGGACAGTCTTTTAACTTATTATGAACTTAGAAGAAGTGCTCGACTCAATCGTAACGTTGTCAAATTAATGCATGCATTAAAAATTGTTACACCAATGATAACACTTTGCTTGTTCTATGAATTACAGAGCTAAAAAAACGCAAAGTATTCAGCCAAGTCCATCGAATATTATGATGCCGAGAAAGTCCTATCTATACATGATAGGTAACATTTTTTGGTAAACGGAATAATGAAAACGAATTACTGACTAAGTAACTTCCTAATAAAAGCAAAATTCAAACTTACAGATTATCAAATGTGTTTTGAAGATACATGTGCACATTATCTACTGTCAGGTAAAAACTTATTTACGTACCTTATTTAAAGGACTAATTTAAAATTTTTGAAAGTTTTCGCGTACCCTTTTTTTGACAATTCGGCAATAAATATCAATGGTATGCGGTATAAGTAATCCAAGTGATTGCCTAAAAAGCTTCAAGGATAGCCTGTATTAATCCAGAGTCATGAAAACTAGACTACGACGACAATGTGGGAAAAGTACACACCACACCGGAAAGAAGATATAAGGACAAACCTTGACGTATATTCCCCTATCCGGTTTTTCTTTAATTTCGAGACGTTTACTAAGGTCCTTTTGAAGTAAATCCCGCACTTCTTCCTTGTAAATCTCCAGATAACTTGCACGTACAAGATATTGTGCATTTTTCGAATGCGCGATATGATCAAAAATGTGCTCAAACGAATTTGGAATAACTCCTCGAAGTTCAAGATCGTCCTTCACGCCTAAATAAATCTCCTTAAACAAAATAAGGACGTTAACCTTGGATTGTAAATGTCTTCCCTGTCCCCGTTTGACCGTACGCAAAAATCGTCCCATTAAATCCCTCCAGTACACTCTGAACTAAATCTTTGAACGATTTCTCATAAAGATCTCTTTGCTTTGAACTGCAAAGATGGTAGCTAAAACTTTATCAACATACTCTGGACCATAAACAGTGTCAAAATTAAAAGAACGTGATGCTTCCTCCGGGGTCGCCTTGGGGTTCCTGACTTCAATATATCCCTCAGCTTCATTAACACATACGCAGCTACAGGGATTAACAATACTGAGAATTAAAAACCTTTTGTAACCGGCTTGGATTTCTTTGGCATCCAGGGGTCGGCAGCGTACTACGACCTTGACGGTTTCATTAGCCGTCGAGTTCTCTTGCATGATAAGGACTTATCGTCTACAAACCGACAGTTTCGGCTAACACAATATGAATTGTTTGGTGTTTCTTCAAGGTCGTTGCGAACTCAAAACTGCGTGTCACTCTCAATATCCTCGTAGGGTGTCAACAATGGAGTTGAAGTATCCTGTACATTTCTCTGCACACAGGAGGAAAGTAAACTCGGTACAGAAATCCTGCCAGCCACCAGTCAAGTTTTAATTAAAGGTATATATTCCTCGGAATCACTGACCCTGAATTTTCGTTTCTCTAAAAGTGCAAGATGTTTGATTTAAGCAATGAGGACCCGCACACCTTATTTTTGACTGCATGAGTTGGCGTAATGACAACTAACTTTTGTTCAGTGTTCAAAATATGTCACAGTGAGGGATTGTAGCAGAGTGTTCACCTACGACTCAAAGGACGCTGAACATCATGGTTTTTACCGTTAATGTGGATAGCCCTAAAATCAAAATTAGACACTGGAGTGCTTAATATAAATACACAACTGCGAATTTAGAGACAGAAAATTTACAAGACCCCTCATCTGAGAAGTGGAGTTATCCGGGGAAGCATTTTTGGCCCACCCTAATTTTGGCTTTATGTCAACGATGTTCCTGATTGTTTTCAGTATAGTAGGCCCTTTATGTACGCTGACGATTTAAAAGTTGCCTATCGATATAAACCGGCAGATCGCAACGTCATGCTCGAGCTCATAAAAAAAGGATCTTCGGGCCTTTGCCCAGTGATGCTGCGCTTGGCACAAAGTCTCCGTTATAATTTTTGGAGACAATCATCAGACTGAACGGCCATGAAATAAGTGTGGTCGGAAATGTTAAGGACTGGAGCATATCTTACACCAATGGTATTAATCTGTCAGAGTACTGCACCCTGACTGTCTCGAAAGTATGCCGAACTACCGAATTTAGTCTCAGGAATTTTAACGCCATCAGAGTTAGAACTAACCCTTATAATATGTACGAAAGACGTAGACTGGAATACCACTCACCCCTTTTTAGCCTTCTGTGAGCCAGTGAACGGAATAAAATCGACCTGGTCCAGAATTTCTTTACTAAAAGTGATTTCTCTTCAGAAAATCGCAACCTCTCCTACCAACAACGTTGCGCACTTACTAAACTCGATCCCTTGTGGCTTCGCAGACAACGGAACGGACTAATTCTACTGTTTGAAATTTTAAACGCCCGCACCTCTAATGGTCTTAGTACTCTGACGTAGTTTGACCACTCTCGGCACACCAGTCATTGAGATGTCTTTTTATTTCTTCGTATGGCGTGCACATTTAGATAGCACCAGTTTTTTTCAGTAAACGCCATAGCAGTCTGGAATAAGCTACCCCGAAGTACCAAAACTCTGCAAAGCCATCCTTGTTTAAGAGAGTTATCACCAGTTTTCTACATTCAAGACAAAGTTCACGAATTTTGGTTGCTGACACGGTAGAATCTCTCATTAACACTGATGGCGTTCGTGAACCATGAACCTTGTGCCTGGCTCCATGCTGAAAACAGTGGTGGTGAATCTACATCCCGGAATCGG